TTGTCACAGAGAGAGGAATCCACCTCTTTTTTCCCCCTTTTCCTTTTTTTTTTTTTTTAAACGGCAATCTCCCTCCGAAATTATATCAGAAAAAAACTTTATTTTCAACTCGGTTATGTAATACTTTTTTGCGAAGTTAGGAAAAATTTGTAAAATGCCAAGTTATACATACTAAATAATAGTCAATCTAATCACCTTCATTCAAAATAGAAATTCCGAAATTTTTCAGAAAAGTAGAATTGTATGTTATGTACAAATTTAAAACATTTTTTTTTCTGGCAACTCAGCATAAATCTGTTTGATCCTTCAGTATCAACAAATAAAAAACGTCTAAATTTATATGAAAAATCGCCAAATTCGTAGATCACGATTTATTTTTATATTTAATCTATGAGATATGGTCACAGCGGACATATCTCAAAACACGAGGAGACTAAAAAGGCGTTGGATGAGAGATCTCCAAACCTAAGTAATTGGAACAAGTTAGGGATAATAATTTCGTTCCCCATGGCTGTCATGCCATCATTTTCTGTATCGCCAGAACATTTCCTGATTGTTAACAAATACATTTTTATATGGAAAAAAAATCTCTGAACCACTAAACTTTTTTTTCCCTTTCAATCCTAATTAGAACCTGTCATAAATTTGACAATCAGCAGATATGTTGTAGTAATTAGTAATTAGTAATTTGTAGTAATTAGGAAAGTGCTATTTTAGGCATGAGGAACGATAGTACCCAGGTGTACCAATATGACCCAACTATTCTTTTACTACTTTCTTTAATTAAGGGAAGGAGATCTTTTATCCAATTCCTTTTCAGTCGCCTTCTGATGAGCATGTCAGTTTGAGAACATGTCGTTTATAACTCTTATCGTTGTGTCCATGTAGTTTACTATAAAACCCGGAGCAGAGAGTGTTGTGTATAAGTATGTGACAGTTAGTTGTCGTAAGTCGGTGTAAGAAGTTTTGTTGTTTGCGTATCAGGGAGCTGCTGTAAGTAATTAGTCTAAGAATTATGGATTGGAAAGATAGAATTTGAAAGTGCATATTTTTTGCTGAATCATAAATATATTCCATATGGGTTTGAGTACGTATGATTAAGTATTACGTTTTTGTTTAATTTTGATAAGAAATAAAAAGTGAGCGTGATATTTTCTGATGCCAGTTTAAAGCCTTCCTTTCCATTTTTACGTTCAGGGCTCCCAATGAATCCTTGTATAAACAGTCTCCTCCCTACTCTATTTCGATATTTATCTCTATTACTGTATGTTATTATAGACTTATAGGGCAGGACATTGAATGATAATAATACTAACTTTCCAATGTAATCAGAGAGAGTGAAAAATAAAGAAAAGGGCCCCTTATAAAGGAAGGATTAGGTTATTAGAGGTGTATACCATGTTCTTTTGTAAAATAAAAAAAAATTTAAAAAAAAAACCTCAATTTTTACATAAGACATATTTCACTAAGAGTAGCGATATATGTATTATATGCAGGCTCGGTCTAGCTCCTTTTGTTACCCTCGGGGAGAATCTGAAGTGGGCCCCTTTTATCAGGACTACAATATATATATGCATCAAAAAGTGGCTTTCAGGGATTTAAATATATATAATAAATTTATCTTCATTTACAAAATAATTATTTTTGGGACCAAACCTAGTATGGTACTAGATAAATACAAAATAAGAATATACTGGGCCTCCTCCATTTCTTCTACGGGGAGGGTCACACAATTAGCGGGAATCAAGCAATAAATGATTTTTTTTTTTTTTTTTTATTGGTGATATTTACAACTGTATTAAAAGTAAAAATACATTCAGTAAATGTGAACAAAGGAATAAAATAGCATGACATCACATGTTGAGAAACTACCCATTGGTAGCACTCTAAAAATGTATTTACAAAAGGAGATCTCGAGGCCATCTTCTTTTCAGACGCCTCTGAGGGTTGTCAGGGATCGAAGAGGAAGCAAGGTTAGAAACGAGAGGGTTTGGATGGTTCTGAAGTTTGTTATGGAAGGATAGGTATCTGGATTGGGCCAAGTCAGAAACATAAGGAACATTAAGGTCGTTATGGATGATTTTGTTTGTGACAAAGTAAGGAGCAGTGAGGATTTTACGAAGGATTTTGGATTGTAAGGATTGAATACGAGAGGAATTCGATGGCTTAGTGGAGCCCCAGAGCTCAACTCCGTAATAAATGATATAAATTATTAAATAATAATTAATAAAATTTCTATGTTGTTTTTAATTCTATATTATATAACTTAATAATTGGATTAATATTAAGTTATATGAAAAAAATTCTTTACTTATTGGTCTTAAAATGTGAAAAATAAGTTTATCACTCAGTTAAAAAAGTACAAAACATTTATGTATGGAGAACATCGGAAGGGCTCCGAAAATTATCGGAATCAAACGAGTACAAAACAATTATTTTGGGGTCCAAATGTATAACAGTATTGGATAAATACAAAACAATAATCTTCGGGACCCTCAGGCGGAGCTCCCCAATCATTCTACGGCGATAAAAAAAGCACAAGTATTTATGTGTCGGACCCATTGAAGGGGCCCAAAAATTGCGGGAAAAATACGGAATTAAACGAAGAAGAAACAATTATTTTACGCCTAAACATACCACGGCATTAGATAAATAAAACAGAATGACCTTCAGAGCCTTCAGAGAGCTACTCCCCCTCTCCTCTCCCTTCTCGTTCTGTGAGGAATACACTTAGAAAACATTTATATTAGGGGCCCCAAAAAATTGCAGAAATAATCAAATAACAATTATTATTTTTGGGGTAGATAGAAATTTCAGTAAAATAATTTCAAGGACCCCACCGGGAACTCAGATATTTCTTTTGCCTGGGGGCCTTCGACAATCGCCGACTAATCGACCTGGCCTGATTTTAAGTACTTAATAGCTCATGCTAGCTAGTGTATCCGGCTTCAAATCGTAGTTTCCTTTATACTTCCAGAAGAAGCAATACTGCTATTTGGGATAAGAAAAACACGAGACAAATTATATTTATCTGTTTATTAAAGTTTTTTTTTTTTGTCTATAAAAGATGTATTTGCGCCTGTCAACATATTGTTGACAATCAGCAAATGTGATGGCGATACATGAAATGATGACATGACAGGCATGGGGAAGGAAAGTGCTCAGCAGTACCTCTTCCCTAACTTGTTCTAATTACTTAAGTTTTTTAAGGAAAGAGATCCTCTAGCCCAACGCCTTTTTAGTCTCCTCCTCATGTTCTGGGATATGTCAGCTGTGGCCATGTCTGTTATTATGTCCGTTGAAATTAGTGTAAAATGGTTGATAAAGAATCCTTATATGCTGGTCAACTGTTGGAAAGGGGAGGTCAGTATGTAGAGTTTTGTTAGTCACGTATCAAGGTGCTTTTGTTATGTGTCGCAATAATTTTGATTGGAACGTGTGAAGTTTTTGTAGGAGGGTCTTTTTAGCGATGCCGTATATTTGTGATGAGTACGTCCATATGAGCTTGAGTAAGTAGGTATATATATTCAGTTTCTGTTTTAGTTTTAGTTTTGAAGATTTAGAAAAAAGAGAGTAAAGTAGTTTGAGCCGTTTGTTAAGTGTCTTACGTTTCATTTTAACATGCGGGCCCCATGTGTAATGTGTAAACTTCTGTCGAAGGTGAGTCCAAGGTAAAGTACCGTGTCCGTTTGAAGAATTTAATTGCTGTCAATATAGATCGATAGATAGATAGAAAAAAACTTTATTCTGGGACACAGCCCTTGAGAAAAACAAAATTAAAAGATTACATCTGGCCAAAATAGATCGAAAAAAAGAAACAATGTAAAGAAAATATAAGGTAAACATTCTATATACAGAACAAACGAAACTATATACGAAACAATTAACACTATAACAAGGCACTTACAGCTATTTGCACTGATAGACCAGTATACAATTTTAAGAAAATAATAAAGAATTAAAAAATAAAAATATATCAAATTCTTTATTAAAATCAGCTTTGTGTTTCTGTTGAGAAAACCGAAAGCTGAATCTGACTATATAACGTGCCTGATTAATATATAAATACATTATCATTAAGCATTGATATTTGACAATGAATGGCATGAAATAAATGACTTTTTGGGTTAGAAATTGGAATATTGAGGGAATTCCAGAAATTGGTAGAGCGAACAATAAAGAACTTTTGGAATGAGGCAGATCTGTGAAAAGGCATGTAAAAAGGTTAGAGGTCGAGCTCTTGTGGACAGGGAATGGACTGATGATTTGAACTGGAGAAGGTTGTAGGCGTAAGAAGGACGATGGTTGTTGATGATTTGATGAATATAAATTATTTATTAAAGTTTGAATCTACAAATATAAGCATATTCTCCTTAACATAATTCTTTTTTTTTTCAGACCTTTGGCGCCTTATACTATTACCGATGGTACAGATACACCAACACGAAACATACATCCTTTAGAGCAATGCTATTCCTTAACGCACTGGCGGAACCAGGATTTAATTTTGGGGGGGCTTCAGCCCGAAACCTTTTTTTAAATAAAAATAACGATAACTACTTTCGAAAAAAGAAAGAAACTAACTACCTATATGAAATGATGTTTAAGTGATTCCTAAAACCCTTGTAAATGTAATTACACGAACAATAATACTTTAAGAGATAATTTTTTAATATTTTTTTCGATAAAACATGGTTATATTTTACCATTTTGGGGGGAGGCTTCAGCCCGAAAGCCCCTCCCCTCCCGTAGATCCGCCTGTGCCTTAAGGAGTAAATTAACTACTAAAGAACCTAATTAAGTTAAAAGAAGCTCAATGGAAACTGCTCAAAGAAGATACTGTCCAACGAGACATGAACCTTGCGGATACCAGAGGAACAATGAGCTATTAGAAGCAGGTGGCCCATACAAGAGGAACCACTATTGGTTATTGATATTCGACTGACCGCCACGTCTATTATAAGGACTTCTCTAAACACTAGCAACGGTCGCTTCCCAAGATGAAGGAACGGGTAAATAAACCAGGAGGCTATAGGACTCTCCCTACTGAAATATTTACAAATATCGACAGCGCTCCTATATTTAGAGCGGTAAGCCTCTTCCAAACAGGGCCGCCATAGCTGTAGCCAGTTATCTACCAAACATCAACACATATCTCAAGCCTGAGGATCGGATAGCTAAACATATATGTCAACATTAAATCACATCAAATTAATTATTACAACAGGTGTAATCAATACTCTGTTGTAAAGAACTCATTCATTTCAGAGCTGAACATATCGCACCTTGATTCTTCAAAACTTCCCTCATTTAAATACTTTAGTTTTTAGGGTAACCAGTCGTAATAACTTTAAGAAGCTTTTATAAGTGGACATTTAGACACAAACATTTATGGCACTGTCAGAGCATTTATTTATACACAAACATGTAAAAAAAAGGAGAAAAACAATAGGTGTCATTTGACATTTGGATCTAATGATTAAAAGTTAAAATTTAAATTTCACCTATAGGGTAAAGGCACCTATTATTGACATATTATCAATTATTAAATGACACATAACATAAATTTGATAAAATAAGCGTTTAGGTTCATGTAAAACTTCAAACTTGGCGGCTTTTCAAAGAAACATTAATCAGCCTTTGAAGTTTTGTATGAACCTAAACGCTTATTTTATCAAATTCAAGTTACAAGTGTCATTAATTGGTAATATGTCAATAATAGGTGCCTTTACTCTAAATAAAGATATGTAAAAGTTTGTGTTGAACTTTTAATGTTAGACATGCCAACAGAAACAGTTAGTTAGTTATTTTTATTTATTTTTCATCCAATCCTTACAATCCAAAATCCTTCGTAAAATCTTCAACGCTCCTTACTTTGTCACAAATAAAATCATCCATAAAGATCTTAATATTCCATATTTTTCCGATTTGGCCCAATCCAGATACCTATCCTTCCATAACAAATTCAGAACCATCCGAACCCTCTCGTATCAAACCTTGATTCCTCCTCGATCTCTCATAACCCTCCGAGGCGTCTGAAAAGAGGATGGCCTCGTGATCTACTCATGTAAATATATTATTAGAGTGCTACCAATGGGTAGTTCCTCAACAAGCGATTTCATGTGATTGTAGTATTACTGTTTGCACATTTACTACTTGTATATTTTTATAATACAGTTGTAAATATCAATGAATAAAAAAAAAATTTAGTTTTCAGAAAAGTTATTCTTTTTTTTTCAAACCTCATTTATAAAAGTTTATATAAATCTGTAATTAACAGGAAATATAAACATGATTAAATGTATGTAGCTATATGAAACATTATAATAATTTATCTATGCATTCAACATATTAAACATTAATGAATTTAACATTAAAATTTTCAAGTAATGGTTTTTTTATAGAACTTCTGTTAAAAAAAAAAAAAAAACTTTTATTCTTTAAACTTTTATAAAAGAGCCGTTGATTTTGCTAAAATGTCAATGTAAAAAAATACTCTAGTTCTTAGCTATTCATTTAAGACAAATTGCAACTGTAATTTCAGCCCTATTACTATTGATTTCTTATTTTAAGAACTTAATTAAATACAAGTCAATATTTTACCATAAATCTAGAACTTATAACATATTGCAAAAAAGGTTCGAACCCCAGGTAAATAAAATAATAGTAAAGTGACTATTATGAAATAAAAGTAATATGGTGAAAGAAAATATACATATTCATAAGAATCGAAAAGTTATATAAACAAAGTAAATAAAAATATAAACAAAATAACTTTAGCATAAATATAATTAAAATATAAAATTAAAGCTGATTAAAATTACAATGATATTATAATAAAATAATTTCAAATAAATAAAGTTCTCACGAGCGATTTCTACACTATCAATATAAAAAAATAATAAGCATTTTATAACGATTAAAAAGTAAGAGCACTTAGTCATGTGAAGGAATCTCCTGAAATTACAATAAAATATATAAATAATACAACAGTAAAGCTGTTTTTTTTTTCATGTATCTCCCAACAGTTTATGGTCATAACAATAATCGATACATCAACTATCGCAAACACTTCGATATCCGAGGCGTCAGTAATCGATTAATAGCTCCCATACCCACTCCTTAATGGCAACCTTCGGGCTCTGTCATTACCGGTGCTTTGGACCTTTCTCCATTGTTTGGAAGAAACGACACGGCAACACTTGGCGAATGGTAATCCACCAATCCACCTCGCCATCCTGAATAGGCACGTAGTCTCTTAGGAAACCCTCAAATATCTTAACGCAATGGTAAAAGCTGAAGAAAAGATAAGTCCAAGTAAAAAATCAAACAGATGAGAACAATTTTCGGACTATTATTTTCTTGGATAAGGTTTTACAACTTACAGTAAACTTTAGGCTAGTAGTGGTGGACGTTATGAGCTAAGGATATAAACAAATCTTACAAATGTTCAACTCTTTAGATCTCGACCTTCTGACCTTTACATTCCTTCTCACAGATGTGCTTCGTTCCAAAACTCGTTTATTGCTCGCTCTGTTAATTTCTGGAATTCCCTCCCTATCAAAATTCGGCATTCTCCCTCCCTATCTACATTTAAAACCCTCCTATTACAATTTATATTTCAAAAACAGTCAAGACACTCTTTTATGTAAATTTAAATATTATTCAAAATGATTCACATAATGATATATTTACATATAATTCACCACTCAAATACTTACTATCAGATTCGTCTTATTTTTCTTTTTTTTTTTTTTTTTAGAAACACAGAGTTTATTGCTAAGAAGAATGTAATGTATTTTTTATTTATTTATTTTTAAAAGTGTATACTTATGTTTTACACTGCACATAGTTTTAAGTGTCTTGGCATGGTTTAAAGTGTTTTGTATTTACATTTTGTTTCATTTTGTATATAGTATGTTTAACTAATATTGTCTTTACTTTTTTTTCTTTATTTATACTTTTTATGTTTGTTTTTAGTTAGGCACATATAATACTTTAATTTTGTACATTTTTGTTATTCTAAAGGGACTTCGTCCCAGAATAAAATTATTTTTCTTTTCTGTTCTATTCAATTCTATAATAGATCTGATATAAATATTTATTTTGTTCATATATTGAAGAGGAAAGAAAGTGTTAGCTGTTGAATGTTATTATGAGAAAAGTATTAGTTCAAGTTTGTTCGGTGAAGATCGGACAAAAATCGTAGTAAACGACCTCTATTACTGACTAACCTTTGTTGGACAGACAATTGGATATTGAACTATGCTTTTCGTTTTGCCGGCGAGGGCTTACCTAGACAGATTATCGAATTTATTATTCATGATAAGAAATCGATAACTCGAAAAGGCCTTACATGGAAATGGATTCGGAAGGGAAGTAATTGCCCAGCCATTTCCCGGCTTGGGTAAATTAAGGGCGAGTCAATATGGATCGACCGTGTCCAATGACCGGTCCATCTATATAATCACACTTAGGCAAATTGGCCGCGTTCCATTTGGAATTATACTTCCAAGAGTTTTTTTTTGTTTTGTGTGTGTGATTTCCCACTGTTTAAAAAGAAAAAAAATACAACTTCACTACATTTAATACGTTAGAATAGATTCCTTTCTAGGTTCCATGGGCAAAGGAGTTCGATGAATAAAGTATCAAACGAAATGAAATTTTACGAAGAAGAGACAAATCCTAACTTCAAAATGTAATACCTTACAACAACTATAATATAAGTTTCAAAACTCAGATGGTTGCTAAAGTCAACGGATCAAGACGAAATTTATTTTGACACAGACATCAAGACCCTTAAGAACCATCGGGTTCTGCGTTTTTAAGCCCAAAAATGTACCTTTTTCGTGATAAATCTTAATTTTTGCCGGAACTTTTTTGTTACAATGGCTGCCATGGGATACGTATCCAATGTTGGGATTTTAAAAATTAAAATCTATAGGTGTGCAGGATTGTCATGTATTTTTAGGACTGTTACATTTCAGACGGTGGGAGTTGATTTTTTTTAGAGAAGAAATATTTTTCTCTCTTACATAAAAAGAGAATTTTTTTTATTTTAATGATCCAAAATTTTAATTTTAATGAGAATTGTAAATATTTGATTTAATATATGCCCACACGAGCATTTTCTCTGTATCTATAATTTGTTCTAAAGGGACAACAGTCCCAGGATAATAAAAAATATTTTCATGTAATTTAATTTCATTTTAAACAGGTCATTAGTGAAAGTCATATTTTATTTTCTAATCTCAGAAAATTAAAATGCTGGGATTCTCTCTATTACATAAAAAAGTATTTAGGGACCGTGTAATATTTTATTTACAATCTCAGAAAATTAAAATGCTGGGATAAAGACTTGAAAGTCTTTTTTTTCCCTGTTTACACTATATTTTAAAAAATAATACAATCTGAAATACAGGATACGTATAAATTAAAATTATAAAATTTAAGCAATGAGAGTCTGCCGTTAGACGTACAGACTGTAATACTCTAGTAACAAAGTAATATTAACATTTCATGAAAGTATGTTTTTTTAATTCTTTAAAAATGACCGAAAACACATTTTTTCGCTTGTGATACTTCCGCCCAAATTGTTTAGTTTTTTTAGAAAATCGTTGTTTCCCTGCTCCATTGTTCTTCCCAGTTCCATCACCATTCAGGAATGCCGCAGTCTCTATAACGCATATCATTCACAATGGCTGTTACAGTTTTTTAATGCTAAACACGAAATATAATTTACAACGGTTGGGAGTTATGGCCGGAAACGCTGTCAGAATGACTGACCACTTGACTCCTGTTAACCTCATTTCATTCTCTCCTATCCGCTTCTGTTTTTTTCTTTAATTTTTTTTCTTTTCGACAACGCGTCTTTTCACTCCTTACACACTCAGTTTAATCAAGTCCATAGCATCCGTTACTAGAGAGAGAAGGAGTGTTAATATGAACAAAGATAGTACTACTTCATATGTCTTGTGATACTTAATCCAAAGCGATCCTTAAATTCGCCATTATGTGCCAACTCTTGCTTAAATTGTATTTTAGTACTTATTCACAGTTAATAATACTTTAATGGTTTCAATATTAGATCAACTTTTTGTTTTTGAACATGCCACTTTTGGCAGGAACAGCTGATTAAAAAACACAAGATTCGCCAAAGTACCCTAATGGGCAGAGTAGATAAATTTGAATGTTCATTTTCTGTTTCAGTTTTAATTTTAAACATGTTGAAAGAAGTGCGTATAATAGTCGTAGTCTGAGGTTTAAACTTTTTCATTTTTTGTTAATATATGAACCTCATATCATTTTTTTTACCAATATCCAGGATATTAAACTGCATTTATTCGGCAAATTTGAAAATTGTCAAGATAAGTAGGAGGGTAAGTACATGTCGAATAGTGAAAGCAACACGTTGGGGTTTGTCTTTATTGAGTCGAATGACCGTATTCGAACTCTTGCACAAATTGTATTACAGTATTTGTTCAAAGTTAATAATAGCCTTATGGTTGCAATATTAGATTAACATTTTCATTTACATACCATACATATTCACATACCACTTTTGACAGAGCCAACTGATTAAAAAACACTCAGTAGAATTAGGATTCGCTAAAGTACCACTTTCCACTCCATTCCGTTCGAAGAAAGTATCGCTTACATTATTGGTATGCACACAAAAAAAACTGCGAGTCATTTAACATCATTTAGTACAGTTAATTAAACAATCATTCGAGCTATATTGTGTTCTGATTGGTATAAACCCATTCATCAAAAAAATCTAGAAAAAACGCTATTTTGTTTAATTATCATTAAAGCAAAAATAATATATTTCATTTTTATACCAACAAAATCGGTCTAGATCCCTGGATTATGGCTATTCAAGATCAGCTGGAACTAAGTTTTGGGACTCAGGTTACAGCAAAAGAAATAATAGATGTTTTTTTTAAAAGTTCAAATAAGTATCGATCTAATTTTTTTTAATTATAAATTTATTAAGAAATACAAAAATCTTATTTTTAAAAAAACCATCAGACGTTAACAACGTGTAGTGTTTTATAAAAAGTTAACAATGTTCTTTTAAGTAAATCTAACACAATGTAGAACGGATGTCATGTTTGTTCCCACGTTGTTTTCTCTTCTCGAAGCTTAAGACCCCAATGGACTAATGTTCAATCAGAATGTGGGAATATCCAGGCAACGTTTATTGTACTTAGGAATGTAAAAAGAAGGCTTTGCTCTAAAACGCATATTATTTTCATAATGTAATAATCCATTTCAGTGATAATCTTCACACTCATGGATATTGCATTATAAGAAAATTTAAATAATATGGTAGTTAACAATCACGCCATTTCTGACAAATCAGAAATTATGATTTCCTTAAGGAAACACATTCTTCAGTATCTAAAGATATAGAGCTATGTAATTTAAATTGAATGAGGTCTGCAATTCCAATCTCGTCACCGAAAGACCATACATGGGACAGGCGTTACAAAGTATGCATCTGATACTACAAAAAAACATTATGGCATAAAGCAAAAATGAACCAAAAATAATTAGTCCAAAGTAACTTAAGTTTGTATATATTTAAACACACACACACTTTGCTTGTTTGTTGACCAAAAAGGGGGAATTATGAAAGTAGGACACCATCCTGTGAGGGCTCATAAGGCCTTTACCGAACCTGGGTATGGTTCAAACCTGAATCCTACCCGAAGGATCAATTTACAGGTACCTGTACTGGATTAATGGCAACTTCTGGGTAATAAATTCCGACCGTTCCGGAATGTTTGCTGTCAAAAAAACCTGATATCACCACTTCCAAAAGTTAATGTTTGATGACTTATTATAATACGCACTTAGAAAACTAATTCGAAACAAAAAAAAAATTATAAAACCAACTTTATCACAAATGATATGAAAACTATTAAATGAAAGACGTTAATGAATACTGTATTAAAGAATTGTTCTAAAAAAATATACGTAGAAGAAGAAAAATAAATTTTATTCTGGGACTAAGTCCCCTTAGAATAACTACAAGGTACAATTTGATGACAATTGTCTGGCATTGGAAATAAATTAGATTACATGATTGTCTAGATCTAAATTTATAACAAAGAAAAGGCACTGTTAGATATATGAAATCATAGATAGATTTAGATATGCGAGTTCACATATTTATACGCATAAACAATGTGGGTGATATATAATTATCTGTAGGATAACATTAAAGCGACTGACAGATCTGAAAAACATGAAAATT